CTGCAGCCCACCCTCACCTACTGGAGCGTCTTCTTCAGCTTCGGCCTCTGCATCGCCTTCCTGGGGCCCACGCTGCTGGACCTGCGCTGCCAGACCCAGAGCTCCCTCTCCCAGATCACCTGGGTCTTCTTCTCCCAGCAGTTCTGCCTCCTGCTCGGCAGCTGCCTCGGAGGGGTCTTCAAGAGGACGTAAGGCGCCTGGCAAACTCATCGCACCTCCCGCGGGTGGGCTTAGCTCGGCAGCCCCCCGCTTTCTTCCCGGGACGGGGGGGGGCAGCACCAGCCACCCCCTCACCCGGGGCTTCACCTCCCTCCCGCCGGGTTTGCATGGCTGAGCTGGGATGCTGCCGTCCGCATGGGGAAAGCCTGCCCGAGCAGAGGGCTCCATGCGTGTCCCCGAGGGTCCGCAGCCCTCTCGACTGAGCAGCTCGGAGGGAGGGGGCCGCTCTGTGGGCTGCTGCTCTCCTCTTCTGCACGGTATTGTACCCTTCAAGGAGGGTTTTGTACCTCCAGGAGAAGCTGCTGGTTCCCCTGGAGCTCAGGACAGAGGTAGCCTTAGCGTGAAGTTACAGCCAGAACTTCCTGGAGGGTATTTTCCTTAACCTGATTGTTTATCACAAAAATATTATGGGGAGGCTGTTATAATAACCTCGGGGTCAGAAATCGAGGCATTGTCATGCTCCTGAGGAGTTCGGGCAAACACGAGGCAAGATGCGAGCGGTCCGTGCCGTCTTGCTGCGGCGGGGGACGAGGGCAGAGGCAGTGGCTCAGCCGCACGGGGTGGCCGGGGACAGCGGCGCGCTTCAGGGCCAGCCAGAAACCCGGGCGCAGCCAAATGGGGATTTGCACTGAGCCTTCTCTCCAAAATAAATAATACACGATGGCTCAACCCTGAAGATCGCCAGATAGGCGTTTGATGTGAGGCTTGATGACAGCTCTGCTCTGCTGAGGATCAGCTGATCGTTTACATTGTCACTAATTCTTCAGGCAGCGGTGTAACGTGTCAGCTCCGTGTGTGTCTCTGATATATACACGTCATCTATATGTTTAACGTGTATGTGAGAGAATTTTGCGTGAATCCCTCGCTGCTTTAAAATGCCATTTTTAAAATGTTCTGTTAAACTCTCGTCTTGTGAATCAGGGAGAGTGTTGGCTAACGAAGATGGCATTAGAGCGCTTGTTAAATTGCCATCCTGGTACATTGAACTGTCCTGGTCCCCCCCCGCTTTGTGGAGCAGCAGGAGCTGCTGTCTGTCGGGCTGTGAGGGAGAGGAGGTACAAGGTGGGGTGCATGGGGATGGCACGTGGGAACCTTGCTCTGGGTCTGACACGGATCCGAGACTGCTGGGTCAGCAGGCAGTGCCTTTGCCAGCCCCCGCTCTGCTTCGCATATGTTTGAAGGAGCAGCGAAGGAAAAAGCAGAATTGTTTCCTGCTGTCGGCTTCCTACCCAGAGCTCCTGCCCGCAGCCACCAGGTTACCCGGACCCCTTTGGGTTTTCGTGCTCAGGGACTCCCAAACTTTTCACGCTGCAGCAGCGCGTTGGGGAAGAGAGCGTGTTCCTTGCTTGCTGTGGTTACGAACCAGGATGCATTTGTGATCGCAGCCTCTTGGAGCTTTTGCAAAGTGTCTGCGAGCCCCGCTGAGGAGCGGCAGCCCTGCCAGGCAGGAGGGCATGTTTCGGATAGTTGTAGCTTGCGAGCGTGGTGGTGGGGTTACTTGGAGTGGTTCGACGTGCAGACGTGTGGGTTTGGGTGAGGACGTTAACTGTTCAGGCTCTGAGAGCTCCTGTGCCATCCCCCTCTTCAGGGACGGGCAGGTTGAGCTGTCCTGCTAAGGATTTCTACTTCTGGCCCATGCTGCGGGTTTGTAAATCAAATTATCCTGGCCCCGGTGCCAGGCAGGGAGGAGCGCTGGACAGGTCACCTTTTCCAGTTAGGAGATGGGTAGCTGCTGGTAGAGGGTCACAAAGCATCGCCTGCCTGCAAGCCGTCCAAGCCAGGGTCTGGCTGTAAGCTGCCTTTCATTTCTAATGCCTGAGGAACGTAGACTTCGTTGCTTGCTTTCAGTTAAAATATGTAAAATATGTATTGGTCTGAGCTCTCCGGATGATGGACTCGTGAGGGGAAGCAGTGTTGGGGCTGGATTCTGCGGCAGAAGCGGGTGGTGGGACCTAAATTATGGTTTGGTTCCTCTCACCAGAGAAGTTGCTGAACGCTGGGTCGTTGTCTCTGCTCTCTCAGCCCAGCTGGAGTCCTGGAGCGCTGGGAGGACAGAGCATAATGATGGCATCCGTCCCTTCTGTAACTCGGCACAAGCCTGGACTGCCAGGACTAGCTCCAGAATTCCCTCCTGCACGAGTTTTCAAGGAAGAAAAAAGTTTGCCGTTGCGGGTTTCCCCGAGTGATGTAGAAATGCAGTTGTTGCCTGCGGTACTCCGCATCGGAGACCCGGCTTTGCCGCGCGGTCCCTTCCCTGGCGGGGTCCGGAGGTGCGAAGCCAGAGCTGGGGGAAGAGCAGCTCCTGCGTAGCTGCCCGGCACGTTGTTTTAAGCTCATGCTCAGGTTCATGACGGGCTGTTGCTCTCTGGTAACTCACGCTTGGGGCTTGCTGGGTTGTAATTACAGGCTCTGCTTCAGAAGAACACAGCTTTTCACAGGGTATTTGCATGAGTGGGGTTGGGGTTCAGGTGGCGTGCGTGCCCTGGCTCAAACCCTGGTGCTGCCCTGGTGTTGGTAGAAGTTCCTTGAGCAAAGACAGCCCTGGCAGCAGCTGATGCCCTCCGTAAGGAACCCTGTGCGCCTTTGCCTGAAGCACACGAAGACTCTTGTTTCCTGGTGTTACCTGGAACGGATTCTCAGAAGTGCCTGACACGTTGCGAGACTGCAAATCCAGCCAGCAGCGTTGGGGTGGGAGTGCTGGGAGGACTTGAAACCCTGCCTAGACTCAGAAACCCAAGTGGGAGGGAGCTCTTTGGTAAATCCCCCCCCCCCCCCCCCCCCCCCGCGCGCACTGCGAACTCCAGGGGTGAGCTCTGTGCACCTCCATCCCCCACTGCTCTCCCTCTTGCTTCCCTTGCCTTCCCCTTTTACTTGCCCCTTTTGTTGGATTTCAAGCTTGCGTTGTGAAGCTGAAGACATGTTCCCTCTGTGCTGCTGTGCTACGCAAGTTTGTCACAGAAACACCAGGGTAGCTCAGCGCCCGTGCCCCAGTTTGCTTTTTCTTTTTCATTCAGAAAGTGCATTTTTGTGTCCTTCTGGGGTTTTTTTGTTTGGTTGGTTTTTTTTTTGATTTTGCTCCCAGTGTTGGGTCAGCCTGAGCCAGTCCCGCTGGTGTTAGCGGAGGAGAGGAGGGGGCTGGTAGGTCTGTGGCTGTGTTGGAGCCCCAAGCAGGCTCCGCTCAAAGGAGCGATTCGCACCAGGACCTGGAGGGCTGATGAGATGGGACCCTTCTTCCCTCTGTACCCCTGGGCACCTGTAGATGTCACAGCGTGTCAGCTGAGAGTCGACGACCCTGTCCTCTCCCTGCTCTTCGGGCTCCCATCTTCTGAAGGTTTCTCTTCAAGCGTGCAGCTGGTGCAGAGGACGCTTCTCACCGCAACGGGAGGTGAAGCCTTTTGTTGCTGAGAGCATGGGGACTTGAGCATGAGCTCCTTGGGGGAGGCGATGCTCCCCAGGCCTGGCTGGTGCTTCCCGCTGGAGATGAGGGTACCAGAAGGCAGATGTGGGATAATCCATGCCCTACTTTGCCTCCGTGTCCTCGCCTCATCCCCTTAGGGCTTTGGATGTTTAATTATCAGTTTTGCAGGTCTGAATTAGCCTGATTATCATTTTTCTTCTTGATGTGAGGGACTTAAAAAATGCTCCCTGGAGTGGGGAAAAACATCCTTGAAGTTGAAGAGTGCCTGCTGGAACAGGAACACCACGGTGGGGGTTTATAGACGCTGTGTGGGAAGGAGAGGGGGAGCTTCGCTGGCTGTGACTACAGGATAGCGTTGACTGCCCTAATCCTATAGAGGAGATATTTTGGGAGGGAGCTTCAGGCCTTCCCTCAAGCCTTGTGATGGAGCCAGGACATGCGCTGGGTGCTCCTGGAATGGAGTCCATGATGTTACAAGACTTGGTTCACGTGCTGAAGCGGAGCCTGCCCTGGGGGAGCAGCAGCCGGCGCGGAGCTGTGCTGTGCATCGCTCAGCCGGGGATGTGGGGACCGGTTAGTGATGGGGAGGGCAGCGATGTCAGAAACCGGATCGTGGCATTACGTCAGGGTGGCTTTTTAAGCCCTTTGGAGGGGTGCATTGGTTTCGCATCATCAAGACACGGGGTTCAGCCCCCCTCTGAAAATCATGGGGTACCTCATTTAAGGATGCTTCTGCAGAGTTTGTTTCTAAAAAATCTCCCAGCTGGTTGTTCGGTGCCTCCCTGGGTGTCCTTTGACTGTATCTTGGGGACCTGGTGTGGGAAGCCAGGAATTTGTTGGTGTCCCCTCCAATGCCAGAGCCAGGGGATGGGGCAGCAGGGCTGTGGGCTGCTGGTGTTTGCAGGGGGATGCAGTCCTGTTATTAACATCGTACGGCTGGAGGCAGGGATTTTTGCTCATTGGGGAAAAGGGAGGTGATCTTTTGAATGCTTTTTAAGGACATAGCATCATCTGCAATTAATGTTTAACTCTAGTAATGAACATGCTCCCTAGCCAAGTGCGAGTGGTGCTGTGGTTGTTTTGCTAGGGCTGCAGAAGAGAAGAGGCGTTTCTGGGACATCTCGGTGTGCATTTCCCTGTTTCTCCATCGCTCCCGGCCTCGGATTTGCCAGCTGCTGGTGCTTCTGCCTCTCTCCCTCCTGCTGGGCTTCTGCTGTACCCTGGAGAGTGCTGCCTCGTCTCTCCAGGCTCGAAGCTGCTTCTCTCTCATTTGCTAGTTGTTTCTCCTGCCGTGACTGTGCACATCTCGCTTTGCTCCCTCCCTCCCCCAGAAATCCCACACTGGCTCCCCATTTTGCTGTCAGAGGAAGATCAGTAGTTACGGCTCTGCAAAACACTGGCTCCTCGCAGATGGGTGAGCCAGGCTGGGCTGGGAGATGGGCGCACACCGAGGCACTGGTACAGCCAGGCTCGTGCCACCGGGCAGGAGAATAAAGGAGACATGTCCTTGGCCCGTTTTTCTCCCCGGTGCTGGTGGAGCGCAGCGTAAGCAACAAGCAGGGTGTGGATGGCCAAGTCGCTCTGGGTTTGCAGATGAATGAGGGCCACACAGAAATGCAGTGACATGCCCGAGGCCGGGCCGTTCTGGACGAGCGGTCAGGGCAGGAGGGCTGGTAGCGTGGTGCCCAGCAGCCTTGGAAGCTCTCTGCTGCAGCTCCAGCCTGCGCCTCCTCATAGCCTCCTCTTCCTCCCTCTTTGGGCAGAACGTGAAGCAGACATGGGGTGCAGGCGGCCTGCAGGAGCGAGCCATAGGTGTTTTGCTTGCTGGTTGCGTGGCCATACCAGGGACCTGTGCATCACCAGTCCTTTGCTGTGGACAGGCGGCCATGCCCCACATCCCCCAGCAGCAGACCCCGATGGCTAATTGGCAACTCATTGCAGCAAGCTGCTGGCCGTTGTAACGAGCTTCTGGCAGGGTTTGGGAGCCCAGGGTTGGAAGGGGACGAGCCTGTGCCTCTTACTCTCTGCTGTGACTTTATAGTCCCATCTTTCTGCTAGTTTCAGTGCTTCGCTGTCTGGTCCCTGTTTCCTTCCTTCCTTCCTGCCTTTCGACTTGGCAGCTCCGGAGCAGCGCGGTGCCAGCCTCGGCGCCGTTCTCCAGCGAGCTGGCTAGCGCCCGGCTCGCACCGAGAGCAGCCGGGCAGGCCTGCCTGTGCTGCTGCCAGACCCGGGATGCAATGCACCAGCTTTACCTCTACCGCACGCATCCCTTGGGCTTCCTCGATGGACCAGGTGGTTTGGAAAGTGGCTGCCTGTACTGGGAATGGCAGCAGCCCTGCATCCCTCCCCGGCGTGCTGGGGGAAGGGACGATGCTGCCAGAACAGAGCGTGGAAAGGGAATTGCAGCAGCACCCCAGTGCTCCCTGTGATGCAGGACAGCATGTCCAGGCAGGTCCGGGATGGATGATACAGGGATGTGGATGCCAACAGCTCTCTCCCTGCCGGGAACTGGGATTGCCCAGCAGCTCTCGTGCCTGCTCCTGCGATACAGCCCTGCGTGAGAAACGCCCCGGAGCTGCTCAAAAGCCGTGACATGGCCTCGCCTGCACATACCCCTGTCCCTTTCCATTCCCAGGTCTGCCCAGTTAACAAGGGAAGGTTCTAGGTCCCTATTCTGCCATGAAATGTGTAGACCATGGGTTTGAAGGGATGATTGCTCTTCTCCACGAAAGCTGGGTGGAAGATCTGCCTCTTCGAGGCATCTCCCTCCGCGCAGGAGGTGGCCGTGCCCTAGACTGGCTATGGCTGCAACGTGGGGGTACGGGGTGCAGAGCGTTTCCCTTGCCTTGTCAGGAGAGCGTGTGCTGGAGCTGCATTGCTTGGAGCTACGGCCTGCAGGTGCCTCTCCTGCTAATGCCTACACCACTGACCTGGGGCTGAAAACAGGAGGCAGGGCTGTGGTGTGGATGCTGCTCTTATGGAAGTAATTCTGTCCTGTCTTTCAAAAAAATGTCTCAGGTTGGCTCAGTCCTTGTTTGCACTCTTTGCCTCGTCACTGGCAATCTCCTTGGTCTTTGCCATCATCCCTCTGTGCCACAATGTGGTGGTTCTGGCTGTGGTCATGGCTGTGGCAGGACTGGCCATGGGTTGCATCGACACCATCTCCAACATGCAGCTGGTGAAGATCTACCAGAAGGACTCTGCCATCTTCCTGCAGGTGAGCATGGGGCCCGTGTCTCGTGGGGCTGTGCTTCTTCCTCTGAGGAAGAGGAGCGAGGGCCTCAGCCAGCCTCCCTGCAGAGAAGAGCAGTAAACCCCCTGCTCTAATTGCATATCTCATCTCTTGCAGGCTCTTCATTTCTTCGTGGGCTTTGGAGCGCTGCTAAGCCCACTGATAGCTGACCCCTTCCTCTCGGACACCAACTGCATCCTCTCAAACTCCACGGCCAATGCCTCCAGCAACCTCCCTCACATCCGCAAGTCCCTGGTCCCGCACCATCCAGGCAACCTGTCCCATTACGACCTGCCAATGAAGGGCATGGTGGTCACGCGTGTCTCCTATGCCTTCTGGATCATGGCCCTCATCAATGTAAGTGCTGCAGCCGGGGTGGTCCAAGTTGTTGCTGGGGATGTTTCTGCTTCTCGGCTTTGCACGTGGCTGTGGTGTCTGGGGGGTGTTGGTGCCTCTTAGGTGGTCCCAGTGATGGAAGGAGGTGTGTGGATGGTTGTGCTGGTCCACAGCAAAGGTTTGCCCCTGCTCTAATTGCATATCTCATCTCTTGCAGGCTCTTCATTTCTTCGTGGGCTTTGGAGCGCTGCTAAGCCCACTGATAGCTGACCCCTTCCTCTCGGACACCAACTGCATCCTCTCAAACTCCACGGCCAATGCCTCCAGCAACCTCCCTCACATCCGCAAGTCCCTGGTCCCGCACCATCCAGGCAACCTGTCCCATTACGACCTGCCAATGAAGGGCATGGTGGTCACGCGTGTCTCCTATGCCTTCTGGATCATGGCCCTCATCAATGTAAGTGCTGCAGCCGGGGTGGTCCAAGTTGTTGCTGGGGATGTTTCTGCTTCTCGGCTTTGCACGTGGCTGTGGTGTCTGGGGGGTGTTGGTGCCTCTTAGGTGGTCCCAGTGATGGAAGGAGGTGTGTGGATGGTTGTGCTGGTCCACAGCAAAGGTTTGGGTTTTTCCACGTGCCCAGTTTCCCAGCCAGGAGCAGGTGCCTGGGGCAGGACTCTGCGAAGCTGAACCCGTGGTGACTGCACCTTCAGATGCGATAGGGTCAATGTACTGTCCTGCAGGATCTGCCTGACCTCTCTGGAAGCAGCTTGTGCCTCCAGCATCCCCCTGGGCAGGAGTTACACCAGTCAACTACACTCCAAGCCACAAGGTCTTCCTCCGTGGCCGGTCTGGGGAGGAGCTTGGTGCTGTGGGGATGGCTTGGTGGGAGGCTGATTTGCAGCGTCTTTATTAATGGGGAAGTGCCTATCGATGAACTGAGTTACTGGGGCTGAAAGCTTGACTGGGGCGTCTCTGCCTATTTGTTATGTTTCCCTGGTGGCAGCAGATGGAAAAGCCCTGTGGCCCTTATTTTGTGTGAGAGATGGGATTTAGTGCCCGTCTTCTTCTTCTGCCCTGCTGAGTCCCAAAGCTGATCTCCAGCAAGCTGCTCTTGCCTGGCAGGCTGTGGGCTCTCTTTGAAATGTAGCCCTGTTCCTTACCCCCCAGTTAATACCCGAATCCCAGCGTGGTTAAATACAGCTGGTC